TTAACAGAGATATTGAAACAATCAGATGTGTTTTAGTTACGGGACTAGCTTCACACGACTTATTTACTGATATACAGGAGATAATGCCAGTATGACTGCATGTATTGTGAAGAAATACCATCTCTTCAACGTTATCAACATAGAATCAGCCAATTTACGAGATTGGAAAGAAGTTAGGTAGTGGGTATGGTTGCTTTGGAAGTGGATGAAATAGTGTCAATCTTTTTGGCTTGCCCGTATGAAGTGAAGGGAAAATCATAGTAGTGGAAAAATGTCTGTCGTAATGTGATGAATTTGTTTTTTGCGTATCTGTTGTCCGACTTAATTAGTTGATTACGAGTGAATGGCTGTGTTATGTCTGTCATCGTTTCGGCCCATTTGAGGTTCTGGACGGAACTTGGCTCAGTGATTTGGAACTAGTTACGAGATAACCGTCGCTATTCGGACTACTATTTCTGACAGTTAGTATTCGCAGTTATTAATGTAGTGAACGATTAATCAAAAGATATGACGTGTTCAGTACTTAGTGTGATTGGCTGTATGATTGAAGGTTACGCCCTAGAGTCTTTATACTGCTTTGTAATTGGTTAAGGTTTTGAAAGTGAATAAAGTTGTTTGAGTTGGTCTTGGCGAGTACACCAGAACAGACGGGGTCCTGGAGAGTCTTGGGGCTTGAGTCTTGACACAGTCTAAGGCAGTCTTGGGTCAGCCTGGAGATAGTCTTGGGGACTTTTCCCCAGGGCGCTGTGTCTTATAGAGTGCTCGACTGACCGATTAAGACGAGAGTTGAAACGTATTTCGTTGTGTGTGTTTTATTTGACTGTAAGACTTTCCCGATCCCGTACCTCAAGGGGACGAGATATAGAGACGAGACGATATTCCCCCCTGACACGTGTGGAGAACCCCAGAAGAGAAGAATCTCCTCCGTGATAGTAACTTTCTTGTGGTCGTGATAACTCCAATAATATTCAGTTGCCCTGTATAGATTTCAGAGTTGATCTTCCAAACACTGTATTTTTATGGGATTTTGTAAAAAAAGTATATAAAGTGTCTATTGGGCAACATCATTGTGGGCCTTTGTCTTGCAAGTGGAAGATCGCAAATTCAAATCCCATGATAGGAACAATTTTTCTTTTCCTTCTTTCTTTTCTTTTTTTTCATTTGAATGAAGAGATCTATAATTTTCATGTTTTTTATTCGAATTACTTTTTGTTTCAGCATTTTTATTTTTATTATGTTTAACACTAACAATAGAGGGCGGCCCAGGCTTTAACGTTTTTCAATAACTTCAATTACTACAAATATCTACTAGAACTGATCGCAGACCATGGTGATATTAATTGGGTTAAACCATTCAGCAAAATAGGAAGGGTTGTGCATTTATGATTTCTAACAATTTGTCTAATCTAATCAGGCTGATTACGAAATTTTGTACGAGTTCATGATAAATAAATTAACAATAGTTTTGATTTTGTGAATATAAGGGTTAGGTCATTCAACTTAAATTAACAGCACGGATAACTTCAACACTTTCGTTGTGTTGCTGTACACAATACACTCTACTTTACATCTTTAAAGAGTCATTATGAGTAAATCGCATATTTTTTTCTAGATTCTTATTAGGTGATTACTCTCCAACTTAAATATATGGTTATTCTGTATGCATAGGTGACATTCCCTACCATATGCTGTGATCTTTCTTACCTTTTGTAGTCCATCTTTCTATCTTATGATGTGATCTGCCCCACATCTGTAATGATATCTCCCAACCAATGCTATGATCTGCCCACCCTTACATATACAGGGCAAGCCATGTGTAGTTTAACTATGTTTCTCATCTGGCATCAGTACACCAATAGCTATTATGCACACACAGCATCCTCCAATAACCCAATTAGTTCTATTCGAAAGTCATGTTGTCTTTAAAAGAATACAGGACATGAAATTTCCTGCTCTGACCAGTGGGATTATAGTCGACAAAATATACATTCGAGTCTCTCTGTGTCAGCATTCAACATTTTTAACGTGTGCTGAGTAAGTAATCAAGATATCTTAAATGTGATTTCTTTTGTTCTTTCCTATGCATAATTTTATGCAACACATACTTGATGATGATAAAGGCAGAAATCACAAAAACAAAAGATGATTTTTTACTTGAAAACAATTTGGAAATTGTAAAAACAATTCATGCCAACGATCAGCAATGGCTAAACTGCGTATAAGCGCACACTTATTACTGAGACTGGCAGATATACCAGAAAAGATGCGACAGACAGAAAATGTCAAATTTGTGATAGTGGGGAAATTGAGAATTAAGAACATTTCCTTTTGAAATGTAGATTATACTCTGCAGAAAGAAAAGAAAACATTACACACTTGTTAAAAGCCAAAGATGAAACAGTGCTTAAGGAACTAAGCAAATACATTCATAACTGTTTTTATTATGATGGAAAACAGCATAAAACAAATTACCACCAGCCTCCCAACACTGCTGGACACTACCAGGGGAGTATGTAATTTTTTTAAAAATGTTTTTAGTTACATTTATTTCTTTT